CTAAATCAACATTTAAAGTAAGGTTTGTTGGAATAGCCGATAATTCTTCGATGACCATTACAAAAAAGTGAGAATGCACCTTATATAGATATAAGAAGATGTGGTATGAGTGCCAATGAGACAACTCTCCATCCAAGTCAAAATTTATAAAAGTAAACCATTATAGGTCAAAGTACGGTCTTCAAATCGGAGCCTTGGCTCACACCGAACAGCAAGCTATAAAGGGCTCCAAAAATTACTAGTGTAAAACCATTCAAACGGGAAAACCAACGGTCTAATCTATATAAAAAACGAGAAACGAGAAACACTTATGAACCACATCAACAAACGACAACTACTGAACATCAGATTCCTTATGAATATGCTTTATGAGTACTTACCATATGTAAGAATTTAAAAAAAATCGGAAATGTAGAAACAGATTTCTCTAAATCTAATTGATGGAATTAATCGTACGTTTTAATAATGATACCTTGTATTGAGATTAATGCACGAGGACATTCGGTTTGCATACATATGATCATCTTCGGGGTATATATTTGTATTGAGGAAAAATAAACAATCTTCAAATAATTGGAACTTTTCCTTGCAATTGCTTTGCGTCTAATTAAGATCGAATGGCTTTACGAAATTAGTTTTAGTAGTACCTATAATAGAAAGACGAGTATACGAATCTAAACTTGAAATGACTTTCATACAACCTATTGAAAAGGAATAAAAAAGGCAAAAGATTTAAAAGGGATATTCAAACTCTTGAAGTTATTATTTTCGTCATGATAGAGGTCAAAATAAAGAAAATCGTTCATCCTAGACATAACCTCCATGTACGTACATTTTCATTTTCACGATTATAGGCGAATTATGAACATTCAGGATAATTTAGGAACCTGTACACTTAAATATCAAATTTCTTTTTAGAAACAGTACACAGTTGATTGATTTTCATTTGTCCCTACGTCTAGTGATAAACGGTTCAAGGAAATGAAACCAAAAAATCTGATAGGTACCTCTCAACAGCAGACAATTGAGTAACACTTATATCATCACATCCCATTTGGACGTAATTGTTTTTTTGAGTTTATGCTATGGCGTTGTCAATTTGTTTTTGTCTTATCAGACTTAATTTTTTTTTTGATATATTCCACACACTCTTGTTTAACCTTGTCACATTATGTATGTGTCTGTCCCAAGTCAGAAATCTGTTAATCCGTGGTTTGCATTGATTGCTGTCTGTCATATATGTGTTTCTGTTTAGTTGTTGTTATATATCAGGTCGTCGGTTTTCTCGTTTGCACTAATTCACATCAAGTCGGGTCCTTATATCTTTCTCAATGGTATGAGTTTTGTGCATTGTTGAAGATCGTACATTGACTTATGGTTGCATACATCCACCATGTCCACGGCACTTGGATTCTGACGGAGAATTGTCGCATTGGCAATCATATCACATCTCTTTATACTTTTATGTATTAAATAATTACAACTGTAGTAAACCTATTCATTTACAACTCAATATATAAAGTTTATACTTTCAAATAAATAATGAAACCTTACCTTTTACTGTAGAGTCTATCATGATTGTGTTTGACTGCTGTAAACGTAATATATATATAGCTATACACATTCAATGGTTCTTGAAAATGGTTATTTTTTAAGCAAACATTAATATTTATAATTGATATTTTAGTCTTAGAAACATGTTTTTTCATTAGTTGTTTTTGGCTTTAAACTAGCTGTCAGGAACTGCGAGTACACTCAGATCTTTACTTAGTGTCTTTTTTGTGTTTGGGATGTACAATTACCCGTCCACGTCAACTCTGTGTTTTTTGTATCCATCTGATGAGTTTAGCCTTTTTTAAAAGCGGGAGGTTTGGCATGCAACAGAACCAGGTTCAATCCACCAGTTTTTTCTTAAAATGTCCTGTACCAAGTCAGGAAAATGGCCATTGTTATATTATAGTTCGTTTCTGTGTGTGTTACATTTTAATGTTGTGTTTTTGTTGTGACGTTGTTCTCCTCTTATATTTGATGTGTTTCCCTCAGTTTTAGTTTGTAACCCGGATTTGTTTTTATCTATATCGATTTATGAGTTTCGAACAGCGATATACTACTGTTGCCTTTATTTAACTGATTTTTATAGTTTGTTCTTATGTTGTGCTTTTACACCACTGTCCGAGGTAAGGAGAATGTTTAGCGCTCACAAACATGTTTAACTCCGCCATATTTTGTATGTCCCATGTCAGGAGCCCGTAGTTCAGTGGTTGTTGTTGGTTCATGCCTGTCATATTTGTTTTTCATATACTGTTTTGTTATACATTAGGCCGTTAGTTTTCTCAATTGAATTGTTTCAAATTTTTTCATGTCGGGGCCTTTTATAGCCGACCACACGGTAAAGGTTTTTCTTATTGTTGAATGACGTACGGTTGCCTACAATTTCTTACATCAACTTCATTTGAACTTTGGTGAAAAGTTGTATTGTTGGCAATCATACCACAACTCCTTATGTTTATATATTAAAATGATTGCCATGTTGATGCAACATAAAATGCTAAAAATTGATATTCAAAAGGAATATAAATCTGAGAATATGCTTTTCTAAGAATGTCATTCATTCAAATGCTATAAGTATACTGGATTAAAAACAAAAATGACAACCATTCTTGATACCTGTTATTATTGTCAGATTTTCCCTTTATTAATTATATTTTCTTTTGAAGGCCTGGCATTGCTCCAATGACTAAAATAACAACTGCAACGGTTGGAATTGCAAAGGTAAAGTACTTTAATTTTACCTCTTGGCAAACATGTATGGGGTCATGTTGTTCATACACCTACTTTTGTGTGCTGCTATTTAATGTGGTAACAGGGTATTTATTTGAATTTGAATAGGTTGAATAGTATACTTCTGTCAAATTGGACATTGAAATTTATGCTGTTTAGCATTGTATATTTAATGATAGTTGCATTTATTATTTTATTATACAGTAAAGTTGTTTTTAAATAGCATGACATTTAAAGTTATATTTTAAAATAATAAGTCTGGTACACATTTATATATCTAATTGAAAAATAAAGCTGTTAAACAAATTCAACTGTTCCTTTCTTAAAGTCATATGAGACTATTTTTTTTTTAACTTTCTTAATGTTATCGAAATTATTGAACCAATGCATGCATATTTACTAAACTACGTTTTTTTTTCTAATATTTATTATGAATCTATAATATATCATCGACAATTAACATTTCAATCGGTGATTGTTGATCGCAATCTGATCAATTTTCATTTTTTTTGCCGAAGGTTACTGGATCGTGATATTGATTATCAATCAACAGAGAGCATGTAAAACATGTGCCAAATACGTGAGCTTGATATTTTTTTTCATATTTTCCCTGTGTTCCAAATAGTTTATTAAACAGCTGTTAAGGTAGCACAATACAAAGATTTTTTTACTTCCAATCTCCAACCTTTAAAATGCTGTTTCTTTCTTAAGACTGCATATAAATTAATAAAAGAGGTATATATAGATAGATAAAAGATTAATCTTTTAAATGAAGGCAATATTTTTGTTATGCAATCATTATGTAATCAATTATTATGCAGTAAATGGCAAAATCTTGGTCAGTTCACTTGAATGAATTTAGCTTTTTCGTCTCTATAACTATACAGGTAATTTAAACGAAATCTTAATCAACACAGCAGGAGCTACAAAAGGGTGTAAATGTAGATAATGGTAAAATTTTGTAGACACAGTTAACATTATAATTAATTACATAATTGTTGTATAATACCAACATTGCATTGATTTGAAAGAGTAATCTGTTAGCTATCCATAAATACCAATTTTCAAGCATTATGAAGAAAGTTACAGCATTTTAAAACTGGGGAATAGGAGGTATAAAATCTTTGTATTGTGCTACCTTAAATGACCTTTTGTATTAAGTTTGTTCTTTAAGAATCATTTCATCATGTTTACACTCTTTTATCACGCCCAATCTCCCCTTTTTCGCACTAGCACTGTGCAGTGGCCGAAGATATATATAACGATATGTCGCGTAGTTAAAGTCACTGCATACGAAAAAATAGTGGTGAATTAGTGTACTGGACGACAATAATTCTATAGCAGTACATTTATGTAAATTTTGATAATATAAAATGTTTTCTTTTACAAGAACTTCCACATATACTTTTTAGTTTCGTATGACTTTAAAAATGTTACCATGCGGGTTTCCAATAATATATTTCGAAAGAAAGACAACAACACGGCCACAATATAACATATGAAAGGCACTATCACTTTAAATACATTTTCTTTAGAATAATTGTCATTTACACGAGCATATATAAAACATAACAACATTCAACAAAATGCAATTCAGGCCTTTTTTAAGGCAGATTTCTGTGTCCAGAGTAAAATTTGATCAACGGATGTCGACCTTAATCTTTTTTTATATTTCGATACATGCGCAATATGTGATCTATACAAAAAAAATTAATTGACAACATGTTGATGAAAATGGTGTACTTGGTACAGAATTATAGCTACTCTTGCACTTTACAATTCAATAGTAAAACACATGCTAAAGAGTTGTTCCAATTAGACTTTACAATGTATATTCAACCAAGACCACAAGCATTTTAGACGCTGAATTAGACACCACTTGAAAAGATGCTGCCGTGCCCAAATCAATGCAAATGTATACTTATTTAATAGATGACATGTCTTAACATATTCCAACTCACATTTTACTGACAAACGAGACCCTTTGGGTCAAAGGTTATAAACAGGGTTGATATTCAAAGTTAAAATTATTTGTTTTCATTAAAGATATTAAGATACAAGTGATATAGATAATTTAGGTTTCCTTTCCAATTTTTCATTATTTTACGTGCAATATATAACAATCAAATACTTGTCACTCACACACATTTTGCGATATGCCATGTTTAATGTTTTAACTTCTTGCAAATTGATAAATTCTTGCTAATGATACAAAGGTATGAAGAAGCAAACCTTTATTTATTTAATGAACACAATATAACAGAATAAATATGAAAACCATATCAAAATTACAATGTAAAACAAAACATATAAAAACTCTGCAATACTATAATTTGAGATTGCCGATGTGGATACTTTTAAGGCTTTACTGTAAGGTCCTTTATTTACTTCATTTTTGACTGCTTGAATTGTAAGTTCATACTCTGTGTTGCGTTTTAAGCCTTTTACGATGTATTTGCAAGAATTCACAGATGTTTTATAGTAGCTTACAACACTGATGTTTTTTTGTTCACATTTTATTTCATAACAATCAGCTCCTACAATTGGATCATCCCATGTTAATGTAATTGTCGTTGGGGTTATATCTAAGGCAGATGGACATCCTGGTTCAAACAATTCCCTGTAAAAATAATAGCCAGTTTTCCATTATTAGGTCACCACTTTTAAACACAAAATATCAAACGCAAATTTAAGATACGATTTGTATGATCTGCAATGCGGTGGGTGAGGAAAAATGGCCGGCATGTTTGGTTGCCCTAGCGAAGTAAAAACATAAAGTTTTACGAAAAATTCATCTTCGTATTATATAAATGGTTATATACGGTCGAGATGTTCCTGTGAGTTTCTAAAAATATAGTGATGATGACATATTAAACTTTTATTATAGATTGAACGTCTCCAATGGCACACACATGATTTTCTGTGCATTCCATGTTAAAAAATGTTGGTCCAACGACGAAACACGTTTGTCAAGCTGCAAATGTCAGTAACAATGCAAAGTGTGGTAAACGTTTATTGGCACGATCACTCTATTACATAAACAAACAAAATATTTATTCATTTTTTTAGTTTGTCATGACAACGATGTTATACCATTATGTACAACAGTTTTCAAGAAACTGTTTTATCAGTTTGTCACAGAAGATATTCAATACTTGAAACTAGATCAATTTTGGTAAGTCCGATCCTAAAAAATGTTCTGGCATTTTAAATTTTGAAAACAAAACAAAACAAAATGGACAGTTACAAAAAAAAAAAACAGTTTGGACAGGTCTACTTCAGAACAGTTTTCGACAGTTTTACCCTATGTAATTGTATAATGTTAAGTTAACTCGGGTATAAAACACTCTCAGAAAAAGTATTATCACCAATCCAAATATGTTCCTGTAATAAACACATCCAATAAATTTCTGGCAATTTAAACATATCTTATCTTTGAACCGATCCCGATAGTTTTAACAGTCTTGAACATCTGTACCCAAGAACTGATTATGACAGTTTCTCCCTTGAAGGACACGTTGCTCATAAATAGACCAAATATTGCCGGCATCAAATTTCCAGCTCTAAATCATTATTTTTTGTGAATGAATTTTGCACATTGACTTCCAATTAATGAATCCAATATCATAGCAACAAATGATTTAATGAACATAAAATAACGGATTTCGATGAAAAACCAAATACCTTTTTACATGTGAGTGGTATAATTATGATAATATAACCAATGGTGAAGACCATAAGGGGAATAGGAATGACAAATCTTTTAAAAAAAAATAGTTTAAGCTTGTCTTCATCTAGCTGTACAGGTGGTAACTATTCTGCTGGGTGTTTCTAAATAACCAGTTCCGATTTTAGTTATTGAAACACGTCTTTCAAATTATATCTAATTTAGTGTATACAGTCCGTTTTGAAAATAATGAAAATAAATACGTTTTACCATTTTCAATAGGACGACTGAATGTTAAACAGATTAACACAAAACAAAACTTGAGATAAGTGATTTACTCATAAACCAATGCAAAATATACTTTATTAATTCCATAGAAGGAAATAGTGAAAGTCAAATATAACCAATGCATGGGAAAATGTTATGATGATATAAAATGCAATTTGATGTTTTATCATTTTTGTTATTAATTTTATTCTAAATTCATAATAAAAATACATTATAACTATTACCTCATGTGCGTTGTCTGTGCAGTCATTATTTTCTTGTCCTGTAGTGATCCTTCAGTCATAGTTTCTTTGTCTTCTAATATACATTCAGTAGGCGGTTCACTACCTTGTTGAATCCGTTCAATAAGTGTGTTATGAAGTAAGCAATACGTTGGCGGTTTATTGTCAGGTTGAATCAAATCAGCGTCTTTGTTCTGTAGTATGCATTCCATTGATGTTTCTTTGTCCTGTAATATGTATTCTGTTGACGTTGCCTTGTCCTGTAATATGTATTCTGTTGATGTTTCTTTGTCCTGTAGTTTGCATTCTGTTGACGTTTCTTTGTCCTGTAATATGCATTCTGTTGACGTTTCTTTGTCCTGCAGTATGCATTCTGTTGACGTTTCTTTGTCCTGTAGAATGCATTCCGTTGAAGTTTCCTTATTACTTGTTGTTTTTGATAGAATAATAGAATAATGTCTAAACATACCCCTGCATGATAACCACGGTATTTTAGTTAAAATGTCAATGTCTTGTCTAATATTGTCATCTGACAATTTATTATCACCTTTTATAATTCCAATAAACGTAATTGTGTCTTTTCCTATCGATTTTATTATCGTTTCCTTGTTGTCACTTATCCATTCAGTTAACGTGTCATTTTCTTCTTTGTCACAAACAATGACATTCTCTTCATTTTCTTTTATCTGTTTTATCAACGCTTCTTTATCGGCTGTTGGTTTTGGTAATACTATTATCCGGTACACAACCTCTGCAGATTCCCCGTTCACTGATACCATTTGAAACTTTATTGATTCAGGTAAAGTTTTTGTTTCCCCTGTTTTCCAAATGGCTGACGTTTGTTCGACTCCTTTTATCCATGTTATCAAAAAATCCGTGTCTTCTTTTATCGATACAGATAATTTTTCTATGTTTTTTCGAATTGACTCGGATACACCATCGTAAGGTTTTCTTCCACGATAAGTTATCTGTTCTTCCTTCTTGCTTATCTTTTCAGTTGAGCTGAGAAAATACCTTCGGTACGTAATAATCATCGATATCCCAATCCATGATATTACCTGAAACATGAAGACTTTTTATCTTTATTTTACAAAGTCAGGTTAACGTTAACAAATAAGATATGCAATTACAAATATATTTTAGTTTTTTTTTGTGGTTGTCAGAAATGAAGGACGGCTAACTGTTACTGCCTCTGAAAAAAAAAAACACCAAACATTGTAATGTTAGATAAGAGCATGAATCTGGCTTTTGCAACACATTTCAACCCTGTGGAGAATTGTTAAACAAGGGTTTTTACATATTCAGAGAACGTGATATATCCTCTAAATGAGGTATCGCATTTAACGTCCCAGCTCCGATAGGAAACAACTGCTATGTTAACATCTCTTACAACCAAGCTGACAACCTTATTTGGCAAATTTATAAAACCCCGTCTCTCTTGTGCTTTGTTAAATTGGAAGATCAATACATTAAAGCAACACAATGTCATACACATTTTTGCTATTTTCTGTTCTTTTGCGTTTTTAAAAGACTTAAAATTTTAGGTGAATATAGGAAATTATAAACTAGACTTCGAAGAGACGCAAATTACTTTGTAAATGCAGATGAGATTAAAACCGCTCATGTTCAATTAATTACCGGCAGTTAACTCCAACTAATGTTTAAAAAGGAAAACTATTCCCACTGCAAAAAATCGGATCGACGTATATTGTATATCGAAAGTATTAACATTTTTAAGATGGGAGAGCTTGTCGTTAAGGACTTGTTATTGTTGTAAAGCAGCCAATACTAGGAGCTCTGTTCATAGCACATTCACAAGGTAGTATATACGTGAATTCAAGCTATTAACACAAAACTTGATATATAAGTTCACATGTTAATAACATAGATTATCTGTATACATGATTATGTAATATGAGTATGTGAAAATCGGGTTTATAAATAAATAAAAAGAAGAATTTATATTCTCTAAGGGCGATAATCCAACCTTCATTCGGTAAGCATTATACTGTACTCATATTGTGGATAATTTAATTTTTTGTATTACCTGGAACGATTTGTATACATTCCAAACGGACATCTCGCCTAACATTAAGTAAAAATACAAACATGTGATTATAAAGATAAACTTTAGTTTTTTATTTTGAAAAGAAACGTTTGATTTATTCAACAATTAAGGCTACAAAACTGTATACATTACATATATATATTGACTTTTTTCATTTTAATAAACAGATATAAAGAAATACCTCACCTTAATAGAATAGTCGTCCATGAGTGTTTTGGTTGAATGTTGACCCTTTTATTAGTATAATGTATTTACTGATTCTTAGAAGAGAGATTGTTATTTACTAAAATAGACTCCGACTTATGGAGTGAACCATTAAGGTTAAATTTAAACAACTAAAAATATCAGGTGGATACCTAGTTGAAATTAAACGAAATAAATGTAATTCTTTGTTAGAGAGGGTAACAAAGTCCAAATAGGATATTTGAATTGATTACATCTGTTTCTATGGGCTTCACAAGTTTAATGAAGGTGCATATTAAAGGATTTATGCAACTTTAATGCATGTTTTCACTTTGATTATAGTATGGAGCTTCGAGATATGTGTGAACTTTTAAATTATAGATACATTTTCATAAAGCCCTCGATTGTGATGGATGCAAATACGTGTGGTTCTGTTTCGTGCATAAACATAAATTCCACCGAAAAAAAATCCACAGAAAAAAAATAAGAATGATCTTTTCAATGCATACAGTGGCATCCCTGCCCCCAGCGATAGTTTTTTGGGGAAATTCCTAAAAAAAGAACAATAATGTCACCGACAAGAGAAAGTTGAGTACACTCTTTCTGTGTTCGGGCGTGTTTGAGTTGTCATTTCTGTCTTGAAAACGTATAAAGCAAAACATATTTGATACATCGTCTCGCTTCCGATTCTATTTTTATTCATATATTCAGTCTAGAGGTTGATTTAATAACATTGATCATTCTCGATACTAAAAAATGAAATATATGTGTCAGGGAAAATACCTTTCTTATGAGTTATAACAACAGAGTAGGTGTGTTCGAATAACAAATTTTCACTAAAAGTACTTGACGTCAGACTTTACAACTGGATCCCAGTCCTTCCACTTAATATTCAATTAGAATTATTTTGTTTTAAATGATTTTTAACTTTCGATAAAAAAAAAACCCAATACAACCGATTAGACAATAGTTTTAAGTTGACTAAATTCAGAAAAGTACATTATATGATGGTCAAAAGCCTGTGGATATATTTGATTTTCAAAATACAACTGGCATACGAGGATCGTAATGGTGCTATGTAGATAAATATGTCGGTTTTCAAGAGCTAAATATGAAGCGCGTCATCCCTACAATGGCTTCCATGTTTACGCCTGTACATATTAGCTGGTGTAATGGGGAGATAATTTTGACGAAGTAGAATCCTTACTGATGTGTTAATCAAATACTTCTATTTTTATTCGTTTAAATTCTATATATATTCAAGATTTCTATTGATAGAAGAAACAATATACCTGTGTAATTACGAATACATTCTGATCGGCCCCGACAAAAGGAAAGAGATCAAATCCAATGTCGCAGCAAAGTATTGCAAAATGAAAATTATTCCACGAAATGAATTTACCATTGACCAACATATTCCGGATTTGAACAACCCAAAACATATGCGGCGGGGGTCATAGGCGTTTTACTGATATAATTGGATTCAAAACATTCTCCTATGTTTTGTCAGAGTTGAAATAAAAAAGAATATAATCACTGGAACGCATAGTAAAACTAGATAAGAGTAGACAACCGAAGCGTAGATCATCAAAAGGGAAAATTAGGAATCAAAAGTAAACAAATCCGGGGACAAGAGAAAAAGGGTAATTTTCTCAAAGAAAACCAAAGCTTCATGAGAAAAAAACTGACTCCGTTAATCTGGAATTATCACACATGCTCCAACAGAGTGAGCAAGCTCTAGCTTCTGTCAAGACACTATACGTATTTTTCGTAACGGTTATGTCCGGAAACAGGAACATGTATCAATAACCAAGGAACAACTGAAAACAGACAAATGTATTCAATATGTAAAACAAGTATAGTAAAAATCTGTTGAGAAACGCAACCTCTACAATGTTCAGAAGTGTGTTTTGACGCGTTACCCACGGATAGAAAGTCTCGTTACAATGTCCTCTCTGTAACTTAGTTACTACGGGGATAAGAAAAGAGTCATGAAATAACATTCCAAAAACTCGTTAATGGTTATTGACAAGCGTTGCGGTCTTCCATGGACATCTCGTACTACTAAATATTAATAGTCATATAACGAAAAAAGCAATGGATTTGGATGTGAATATTGATTTGATTTTTTTCCCTTTTTGAATTATAGAATTGAAAGGCAAATGGTTACATAGCCTTATGTGAAACAAGTATTTTGAAAGAAAGTGAAAACACACCAAAACATCCACAATAGCTATACTGGCTCAATATCAGTTCTTTTTCAAAAGCAACCTGTTCAAAAGAAATATGTACGTATATGTAACATGCATGGTATAGCTGAATAATTTTTATCTTTGATACGACCCCTCTATTTCTCCTATAAACTGTGGGTATCAATAGTCGGTGTCGAGAGTTGTTTAAAAGGTCTAATTAAATGTGTGATTCTTTTTAAATGGGACTATGATGCAAGGTGGTATATAGGGTTGAAAAATAAAAACTTTGTACATATTTGAAATCTCCAATATAAACTTGCAATTTATCAAGTTTAACAAAACAAAAGTAATTATCTTCTTAATATGTATAAACACTTGCATATTTCGTAGTGCAGAGAAGATTATGCATTTAGTTATAAAACTATATAGAGATTGTTTTTGTATTTAGGTGAATTGCGTAACATTATGAGCTATACATATACATACAGGTAAGTATATACTTATTTTAGTATTCTTTCATAAATATTATAGAATACCTCACCTTTATTGAATAATCGTCCATGAATGTTTGAGTAAACTTCAGTAAACTCAACCCTTTTTATATTTAAGTACTAAATTATTCAATGGTTCTAAGAAAAGCGTTTTGTTCTATACAGAAATATAATGTTATACATCTCCATATTTGTGAAGCGACCCAGCAATTAAACCAATAACACTCTACATAGTTCTGAGTAAAGTGTTTCACCTAATACTTGTCAATAGATTACTAATATTTTTCATTCATTGATAATCTATAAATATGCAGGATTTTTAAAGGAACTAATCTTCCCGTTGACACATGAATAAGTTAAGTTATTCCTTAAATTAGAAAAATCCCACTTTTAAATTCCTGGAAGTTTGTAAAGGATTTTTATAATAAATCCATAATAGACATTGCGAATTGATCGAGCTAGTACCTTTTTAGCTTTTTCTGTTAACATCTATTGATAAGTATTGTAAGAACACCGTCATGCATTTAATTCGGTAACATAAGTGTTTTGATGAATAGTTTGTTTATTGTTTAAAACTTTTGAGTTGATTTTTAAATTTATTTATGTAAAGCGGATCATATTTTCCACTGAACATTGAACATGTTGAACAACCTTTTTCGTGTTTTAAATTTACGATTTCGTCGTTATTTCTTATTGAAAATATTAAATTGAATGCATTTAATTAAAGAAAAAATAACACATTCGCACTTCCTACGTATAACATGTATATATATATATATATATATATATATATATATATATATATATATATATACATATATCGCTAGATAAAACATATGACATCATTTTGCATGCGTATTGATAGGAAACCGTGTCCAAAACTGATGTCATAAGCAAAACAAAAACAAAGGAAAGACAACAACAGTCTATGAAACTGCTATGATCGTGGACTACATCAAAATCCAACAGAGAAGCAATATATGTAAGAAACAACAATGATAATACCGTTTAAATACCCTGATACATATAATATTTGTGTATGTTTTAAACAAAATCTTAGGCGATAGGACTTTGAATGACCGTATCCTCGACATCTATTAGACTGTATTCACAGGTTAACTATAATTTTCAATCTTTATGTTACATGTGTTATGTGTGTGATACACTGTAATAACAGGACGGAAGTAGTAAGGAACGGTAAAAAAACCTAAAACCAATCGTTATGTCTCGAATGATATATGTCATCCCTGAAGATTATTAATTTAAGTAAACTATACTATCATATGAAGTTCAGAAAGCTAAGACTTCCATTTGGGAAAAGAAACTATCAGTCTTTTTTATTAATATTTCATAGCAAAATCGAAGATAAATTACCGAATGTCGTCAATCATTTCAATTCTGATAGGCAACTGCACCAACAAAAATTGCATCGGACTACTGCGTATAAACAAAAAAGATCAGACACTTTTCCCAATCAATCTTACGAGAGAAGTAAGGTGAACGTATTGCTATATATCAATCAATTATAGACCTAGTGGTTATTGCCATGCAAAATAAGTCTATGTTTAAAATGTTATATGTATTTGTATCGTGGCTAAGATTAACGGATTCATTCAAAAAGTATTAAAATATTTTTATCAATCTGACATGCAAAGCTATAAATTATAGAAGAGTTTGGGATGACTATAACATGTACCACTCATTATATGTATACAAATACGTACAACACATGTTTTCAATGGGCCTACAAATGTTTTTTGTTCTATAAACGTGAAAATCACATAGTTATATCTTCTGCCTTGAGCATTGAACCACAAATAAATGTAAACCAGCTGCATAATAAATAGTTCTTAGGAATATGCTCCTCCTTATATAACTGAATTTCGATTCATTTAGTGTCTTTACATATACAGAGTTTCCTTAGGAAAATGTATTTATATCAAAAACCGATCTTATCGTTCAATAACAAAATAACTAGATCTTTTCTTTCAACTTTGACAATACCTGGAAGTTTTTCAACGATTCGTTCAATAAAGCTATGAAATGGATGTACTTTTGCATTAGCTTATTAAAATGTACGGAGAGTCGGTTAAACTATTTACACCTTCAGGTATTTAATTTGGTAGAATTAGTGATTAAATAATAATAAACAGATAGTTTGAACAAAACGCTATAATTGAACCTTTAAATTGTATTATGCTATGCAGTTCTCATTTCATAATATTTACCTTGGGGATTTAATTAACCTATTTGAGAAGTTAAAATAATATCACTGCATCGACAGTTATTTGGTGCAAATACTGCATTGTGCGCATTTAAATATACAGTCGAATAATGATTACACCAACAGCAGTTGTGATAGATCATTATTATATCTCTCGACAATCAATTTAAATAATAATGGGATGGCTATTAAAGAATCGTTTTCAAGATATATATTATGACCAAAAGTCTATAACAAAACAAGTGAAAGACAACAAAAGT